TTTGCCGTGGTCGTCATCAGAAAAAGGGGGTCTCATCCGAGGCTTGTTGGAATTTTTCATTGGGCGGGGTTTTAACGTGGCGGGACCCAAACCCAGCGCACGCGAAGTTTTACGCCTTCTCACTTTAGCTCGCTTATTATTATTAATAACCGAAAAATTATGTTATTTACATTCAATAATCTCTATCTCGATAGAGATATAATGACAATCTATCGACATAGAGATTATTGTTTTTAATCTTGTATAAAGACGAGCAAAATTATTGTGTAAATATTTCGCAGAAACTTGAATACAAATATATGTATGTACTTAACACTATTAGGCATGGTGGAATAATAACAAGGTGTTGTCAGTAGCGACGTGTTTGTTGTAATTTTGACAAGATCGGCATGCTTATTTTCAGTGCTGCGGATCTTAATTTTTATACTACGATTCGTTGGGAAATAGTATCTAAAATACTCCATTTTAGTATTTCGTTTTATCGCGATTTTTAAAGAACTTGGTGTTTTCAGAACGATATTAATATTTAAAATTGCTGGATTTGTATAATTTGTGTCCTCAAAATATAAAATATAAAAGATATTGTGGTTATCAATGGAAAAAGACGTACACAAAAATCGTATGGAAAGGCGATTTTTTTATATTAGATATTTTTTGCTGAATTGTCATAATATCGAGCCAAATAGACTACTGATACAATAGAATAGACCGGCAGTATGGTTAAATTACGATTTCGCTTATATTATCGACATTTATGTGTTTTAATCTATTTAAAAAATCACTTACAGTCTTATAGGAAATTGCTTTATTTTACGGCCTTTACTTTTTTATAAGTTACAATATATGTCCAAGCTGTGTGGAGCTGACGATACAAACATATACTCAGGCTTATAAGCCTATAATTTTCCATTTTTCTACATTTAATTTGAAATAGTATGCACAAACGGATTTGAAGTAGTAAATAATTAGTACCTTTATAATACTTTAAAATGCGTGACCGGAATAGACCTGCCGAAAAAGTGAGGTTAAGTTACTGACAACACCTTGTTATTATTACACCATGACTATTAGGTGTCGATTATTTATTTACGTTAATTGTCAAATTATGTGATACAATTCACGTTAAATTCTTTACAACTTATGTCAAAAAGCTGAAGCTACAAACATCAAAAAATAAAATAAAATAAAAATGTTTTTCTAATAGCGGTCGCTTCTCGGCAGGCAATAACAAAACCTCCGAGTGTATTTCTGCCATGAAAAACAGCTTATCATAGAAATGCAATCGCCGTTCGCAGTCGGCGTAAAACTGTAGGTCCCTCCACTTTGTGTGACAACATCAAGGCGCACGCCACAAATCGGAGGACAAGCTCGGCCAAACACTAAAACTTTGGGGCGTGTGCCTAGCTTATGTTCAATTTCTAGCTTCGGTTTTAGTACTACATACCCTTTTTTGCTAAGAAGGTAAGGAAGTTTTTGAGCTAGAACTTACCATTGATTTTTAGCAATTTTTTTTTTCTTGAGGGTGTCGCTCATTTTCTCCATATAAAATAATGTTTGATAATTTTTTTATATGGAAAAAATGTGCGACATATTCAACAGAAAAAAAATCCCATAAATCAATGATAAGTCTAAAAAATGCATACTCGACTTTTTTCTAGAGAGCGTAACCATACTACTTTACATATATTGCAATTTTCTTACACCACGCACTTCACACCACGACTCGACATTGACAGCTGAAGCAACTTTTTTAAATAGCAAACGTTTTCATATTTTCAATAAATCACTTTTCAAGTGTAAGGGTGAGTCATTTTCGAGTCTTTTTTTTAGGCGTGGTAGCGATTAATCAGGTTTTTACTCAGCAAAGGTGATCGCAGAAGACTCAGTAAGGTGATTTTTATTAAAGTAATCTTCCAAATGCTAGATGGTTATGGAATTATGTATTAACTTCATATCGATGACGTCATAGTACAAGCTTCTGTTTACTATTTATTCTCATGCTCTCCCATGTAATTGTCTAACCCAATTGTTTTCACGCGAACTCCATTTAGTAACTTTAGCTCTGAAAGAAAATACATAACTGTTGAACTTTGTAAGGATATTCCATTCAAACATTCAAAAGATTGAGGGTAAAATCATAAAAATTAGTACAACGTTGCGTATGAGTGATATTTTTAGGATATGAGCGCACATAAGTACATAATATCCACCTTTGCATGTACATACATACTTACAGATTTAGAGTTATAGTGTACTAATATGTTTTGAATACTATTTATTTGTGCTGTTAGCTATTTACACATTTCATACAGAAAATATTCAACAGGAGTAAAAGTCACTCATACGCCCTGTCTCGTCATCATTCAATTTTCTGTTAAACTACAGGAAGCCTGTATTCGGAAATACTTGCAAGACTTTCAAAATTTCACACAGCACACAACTACCGGGCCTTTGAACTTTGACAATTAATGCATTCCTTAGCGTTATTACTTTAAGCTGAAAATTTTTAGGACTCATTTTTTCGGGTACCTTCGTAGGCAGGGGCTGGATTCTGTAACTGTGAGAAAATGCAGTATGCACCGAGTGCAAAACTAACAACCAAAAACTCACCGAATAAAATGCTGTGATTTTTTCGGAAGAGAATTGTACACAATTTTTATAGTTAGTTGAAACTTATTATCACACTTGCTGAAATGCAAAACGAAGAGTGTACACAATTTTCAGTTTACATTTGAAAACTCACAGTTACAGAATCCAGCCTCAGGTTCTGTGTGTCACGCGCCTTCCATGAAATTGCGTATAAACTAGATTTCGCTCAACTTCGGATGGTCAGTAGCGCTCCCATCCATTCCCTGCACGGAGATATATATCTTTTCAAGGGCTTCATTTCTCGCCGCCGTGCAGGTCTAGTTATTTTTCAGCATATTTGAAGGAAGATCAGGCAGTCCTTAAAAAGGTTTTGAATGCACCCTTAGTGAGCACTGGGCCCTAACTGCCACTTGGCTATCAGATCATATATTGACTTCCCTTAAGCAGTATGCCCGCTGCCGCTTTAATGACATCCACTTCTGCTGGAAAAACGCTATTCCAGTATGAAAGCCTAAACTTCAAGTTGATGGAGAGTTTCTACAGAAAACTCCCTACCAACTATTGCTTTAACGTACGATCCATCCAAGGAACAAGTTCACTTCTTTTTCTAACTATAAACGTGCTGAACTTTAAATAGACTTAAAGCATCCTGTCCAGTGGGCAAACTTAATTTTTTTTATATGCGGTTGAATTGAGAAAGAGAGCAGATCTGGATTACTAAACGATTAGGATTGCAATAATTTCAACAAGCTAAAAAACCATACATACATATGTACGGACGTAATACTTATAACACCGTGCGACAAAAATAAAAAAATTCAAAACACACGTAAGAATCGACATACTCACGAAACTATGGGCCGAATATAGTAAAACTGCGTTTTTAATTTTTCACTTTGATGTCAGGGTTTTTTTCAAAGGACTTTGAAATTTTAAACATATGAATAATTAAAAAATTTTTTCAAATTATTGTTGCTTTTCCACAATAAATTTTCATTTAAATAACGGCCTCGAGCTCAATATAAATTGTTGAATATAAATTGTTGAATAACTAAAAAAATTATTTTAAAAAATCAGTGCAATGTAGAATAACATTATGGGTACCAAATAGAAAGAAAATTCTGAGGAATTTAAAAACCAGAAAGTTGTTTGATTTAAAAGGACGAAAGGTATTGAAAATTCACTTTTAATAAATTTTATCTTTTTAAGTTAATAAAGTTTTCAGGAAGAAATTCAATGATGAGGTCGTGCGTATATTAGTACTCAAACAATAATTTAAAAAAATATATATTGCAAATTTTCGATGATATTTAAGCACAAAATTTGTAAAGGACATTTTCCATACCCATTCGTCTTTATGCACCAGAAAATTTATTCAGTTATATTTCTATAGATTTTTTCTTTTATATGATATCCTTATTGTTATCCTGACGTCAGAGAGAAAAACTAAGAACGCAGTTTTACTACAATTTACCCATAGTTTCGCGAATATATTATTTTTTTTGTGTAAAATTTATTGTAATTTATAAATAATAATAATTTAAAAATTTTTTTTCTTTGACTAGCAAGCGTTTAAGATTATAACATGAACTTACGAATTAACTTTTTTGCAAATTTATCTATGCACCACCAAAATGTTCTCGGGACTATGCTCTATAACTAAAAATGCTGCCCTGCCTTTAAGGAAAACCAGCTGAATAATATACATATATTCAAGTTAAGCGCAGTGTATGTTATCTTAGAATATTTATTTATTTTAAATGTTACTTGAAGAGAATCTGAAATTAAGTTTGTTCACAAACTTTAATGGAGTACAACCTAATCTTATTTACCTGTCTATTTCCAGATTCGGATGCTCTTCTACTCAAATGTCCGCTTTATCAAATGCATCTGCAGAAAATTGTTGGCTTCCGGCCGCCACTTGAATACCTAACCACACAAAACCTCATCTACTCGCCGGCATACAATTTTAAAGATCGCAATCGCCATCGGCGCGAAAGCTATAGCATAGTGGGCGCGCCAGAAGGTGAACGGCAGGAACTGGCAATTGCCAGCGACACAGCGAGCGCCATTTGTTGGCGGATGTGTAGTGAGGATAGCGACTGTATTGCCTACGTCCATCTGCTGGACTCAAACGAATGCTATGGTTATTCGTATTTCGAACGGACGACCCGCTATCAGGCAATAGCCGATGAATTGCCATTGGTTGCGGATGCTGAGGCGGTTTTCTATGAAAAGACCTGTTTGAAAGGTGGGTGGCACATAGCAATAATAACAGCTAATTTACCTTATTAACTTGAAAATTCCGCTTATTGCTGCGCGTCCATGCCATTTTCGATTGGATTTTTTCGTTTTATTCATTTTTTTTTTTTTATCTTTTAGTACCTGAAGTGTGCAAACAACGCAAATGGACGCTTACAAAAATTCCCGGTACGAGCTTGGTGTTTCAGGGAAAGAAAACAATAGCGACGCTAGTTACGCGACGCGAATGCGCCGAACGATGTCTATTCGAAATCGAATTCAAATGTCTGTCCGCATCATTTGCGCCATCATACCGTAACAATCGTGAAAGGTATTTAAGTGTATATGTGTATGTGTTTGTGTATGTAAATGAAAGTACAAGTACATACTAATTATGAAGTGCTCATAGCAGAAACGGTTGGTGGGCGGCCTTTGAGGTGGTGGGAGAAGTAAATTCCATTAAAAGCAAACACAATACGGAATGAAATTCCAAATAGGAGTTCTATGGCTTTATCAATTGTGTTTGAGCGCTGAAAATGGAAAATGATGCGCAGCGTTCTCAAGTTGTATGAGCTCATTGTTATGTAGTTAGCTGCTGATTTTAGCGATGCGGTTATTCAATACGGGAATAGCAATTTGATGCAGTAAATTATTTACTATATCTTGTTTTACTTTAACAATTTTACTTAAAAAATTTTTAAAATAAATTATAATAATTGTGTGCGAATGCATATTTGCTCATCTTCGTGTTTTGTAGTTGTAGTTTCTGTTATTTATTCACTTACGTTATTTCTATTTTGATTTTTTTTTTTTTTGTAAACATTATTTACTGTGTAATTGTTGCGAACGATAGTCAGTCAAGTGCTACCATCTACATACATACTTGCATACAGTTAAGTATACACATATTCGTACATGTGACAATGATATAACCTAGCACGTTTCACACAACTCACACGAGTCAATAAGGTCATCTTTATCATTCCGCGTCTCATAACACCCACACAAATCGTCAAAAACTAGTTAGATTCAAAAGACAGCTGATATGGCGATACTAGGCACGTACAATATATTAAGTTTTTATGAGTTAAAATGATTTAATTTAGTAAATAAAAATAAGAATTCCTTTTACCCTTATGCTTATACCTAGTGTAATACACCTATGGTATGGATAGGCCTCCATATAAAATGTATGGAAATACAGATATACAGTGACTCAAACAAATGACCACGTGCTGATTTTTTTCAAATATTCGTTATGTTCTTCGATCTAATTTTTTTTTTGTTATTTTTATATAAAAATATCGTCTAAGCTTTATAGTTCATTCCCACCAAGTCTTAACTGCAGTTTATGCCAATTGAAACAAGAAGATTACAAGTCGAAGGGGATAATTCCTCCTACTACAAGCAAACGAAAGGAGAAAAGCAAACACTAAGAAATAAACTTTGCCGCTCACCCCATGTTGAAATTCTCGAAACTTATCTGAGCTCTTAACTGCTGTTAAGACTCTGGTGGAAATAGGCTATTGCTATTAACCAAAACCGTGTAAATCACAGTGACGGATTTTTGCACTTTTTTCATACAGGTATTAAAATAAAAAGTGGGAGACCGTCAGCAAAAAAAAAAAAAATCAAAATATCAACGCAAGTTTTTGTAAATTGCGCTTGTTATATTAAAAAACCCGAAAAATTTGCCTCAAAAAAAAAAGATCTCAAAAATCAACGCGATTTTTTAGCCGTTTGAAACTTGCACTTCATTAGAGTAAATTTGTATGTAAATTGTCTAGCAATTCAGAAATGAAATTTTGTTGAAAATTTGTTGAATTTTCTTAAATTTTGTATAAAGTTAAAACTGTGATTTACGCGGGTTTGGTTAAAGCTTAAAAGATATTTTTATACAAAAATAACTAAAAAATTTGGCTGGGAAAATATTACGAATATTAAAAAACACGTGGTCATTTGTTTGAGTCACTGTAACTTGTTTAGTTGGTTGGCGATCGCTGTGGTGTAGTGGATAGCAGAGCACGCTGTCATTCCGCAGAATCTGGGTTCGAGCAATACCGAAAAAAAAGTTTTAGTCATCAAAGAGTCGGCGTAAAACTGTGGGTTCCTTACCTTTATGTGACAACATCAAGGCGCATGCCACAAATCGGGGGAGAACTTGGCCAAACACTAACATTATGTTTGCTCAGAAATATTTTTGCTTAAATACTCTGTTGTTCTGAACTTCACAGATTATATTTCATATTTACCAAAACCCAAACAAAAATCAAAAACTAAATATGTAATGTGTTAGATGCTAATTGAACTTAGGATCTTTTGGAACCTGCCTAATAAGACTTCATTCAGCTTCAAGAAGAACATGTGTCTTTAACTTTTCTAATGCTGACTGCACACGTGAGAATCATTGAAGCAACCAAGTCATGTTGTTTTGGCTATTGCGGTGTTGCCGCAAGCGTTGCTTGACCGCAGAACATACAAATTTACTCTAATGAAGTGCAAGTTTCAAACGGCTAAAAAATCGCGTTGATTTTTGAGATCTTTTTTTTTTGAGGCAAATTTTTCGGGTTTTTTAATATAACAAGCGCAATTTACAAAAACTTGCGTTGATATTTTGATTTTTTTTTTTTTGCTGACGGTCTCCCACTTTTTATTTTAATACCTGTATGAAAAAAGTGCAAAAATCCGTCACTGTGATTTACACGGTTTTGGTTAATAGCAATAGCCTATTTCCACCAGAGTCTTAACTACAGTTAAGAGCTCAGATAAGTTCCAAGAATTTCAACATGGGGTGAGCGGAAGGTTTATTTCTTAGTGTTTGCTTTTCTCCTTTCGTTTGCTTGTAGTAGGAGGAATTATCTATCCCCTTCGACTTGTAATCTTCTTGTTTCAATTGGCATAAACTGCAGTTAAGACTTTGTGGGAATGAACTATAAAGCTTAGACGATATTTTTATATAAAAATAAAAAAAAAAAAATTAGATCGAAGAACATTACGAATATTTGAAGAAAATCAGCACGTGGTCATTTGTTTGAGTCACTGTATATCTGTATTTCCATACATTTTATATGGAGGCCTATCCATACCATAGGTGTATTACACTAGGTATAAGCATAAGGGTAAAAGGAATTCTTATTTTTATTTACTAAATTAAATCATTTTAACTCATAAATACTTAATATATTGTACGTGCCTAGTATCGCCATATCAGCTGTCTTTTGAATCTAACTAGTTTTTGACGATTTGTGTGGGTGTTATGAGACGCGGAATGATAAATACATAGCGATGACCTTATTGACTCGTGTGAGTTGTGTGAAACGTGCTAGGTTATATCATTGTCACATGTACGAATATGTGTATACTTAACTGTATGCAAGTATGTATGTAGATGGTAGCACTTGACTGACTATCGTTCGCAACAATTATACAGTAAATAATGTTTACAAAAAAAAAAATCAAAATTCGAAATAATGTAAGTGAATAAATAACAGAAACTACAGCTACAAAACACGAAAATGAGCAAATAGGCATTCGCACACAATTATTATAATTTATTTTTAAAATTTTTTAAGTAAAATTGTTAAAGCAAAACAAGATATAGTAAATAACTTACTGCATCAAATTGCTATTCCCGTATTGAATAACCGCATCGCTAAAATCAGCATCTAACTACATAACAAGAGCTCATACAACTTGAGAACGCAGCGCATCATTTTCCATTTTCAGCGCTTCAAACACAATTGATAAAGCCATAGAACTCCTATTTGGAATTTCATTCCGTATTGTGTTTGCTTTTAATGGAATTTACTTCTCCCACCACCTCAAAGGCCGCCCACCACCCGTTTCTGCTATGAGCACTTCATAATTAGTATGTACTTGTACTTTCATTTACATACACAAACACATACACATATACACTTAAATACCTTTCACGATTGTTACGGTATGATGGCGCAAATGATGCGGACAGACATTTGAATTCGATTTCGAATAGACATCGTTCGGCGCATTCGCGTCGCGTAACTAGCGTCGCTATTGTTTTCTTTCCCTGAAACACCAAGCTCGTACCGGGAATTTTTGTAAGCGTCCATTTGCGTTGTTTGCACACTTCAGGTACTAAAAGATAAAAAAAAAAAAAATGAATAAAACGAAAAAATCCAATCGAAAATGGCATGGACGCGCAGCAATAAGCGGAATTTTCAAGTTAATAAGGTAAATTAGCTGTTATTATTGCTATGTGCCACCCACCTTTCAAACATGTCTTTTCATAGAAAACCGCCTCAGCATCCGCAACCAATGGCAATTCATCGGCTATTGCCTGATAGCGGGTCGTCCGTTCGAAATACGAATAACCATAGCATTCGTTTGAGTCCAGCAGATGGACGTAGGCAATACAGTCGCTATCATCACTACACATCCGCCAACAAATGGCGCTCGCTGTGTCGCTGGCAATTGCCAGTTCCTGCCGTTCACCTTCTGGCGCGCCCACTATGCTATAGCTTTCGCGCCGATGGCGATTGCGATCTTTAAAATTGTATGCCGGCGAGTAGATGAGGTTTTGTGTGGTTAGGTATTCAAGTGGCGGCCGGAAGCCAACAATTTTCTGCAGATGCATTTGATAAAGCGGACATTTGAGTAGAAGAGCATCCGAATCTGGAAATAGACAGGTAAATAAGATTAGGTTGTACTCCATTAAAGTTTGTGAACAAACTTAATTTAGATTCTCTTCAAGTAACATTTAAAATAAATAAATATTCTAAGACAACATACACTGCGCTTCACTTGAATATATGTATATTATTCAGCTGGTTTTCCTTAAAGGCAGGGCAGCATTTTTAGTTATAGAGCATAGTCCCGAAACTTTTGGTGGTGCATAGATAAATTTGCAAAAAAGTTAATTCGTAAGTTCATGTTATAATCTTAAACGCTTGCTAGTCAAAGAAAAAAAATTTTAAATTATTATTATTTATAAATTACAATAAATTTTACACAAAAAAAATAATATATTCGCGAAACTATGGGTAAATTGTAGTAAAACTGCGTTCTTAGTTTTTCTCTCTGACGTCAGGATAACAATAAGGATATCATATAAAAGAAAAAATCTATAGAAATATAACTGAATAAATTTTCTGGTGCATAAAGACGAATGGGTATGGAAAATGTCCTTTACAAATTTTGTGCTTAAATATCATCGAAAATTTGCAATATATATTTTTTTAAATTATTGTTTGAGTACTAATATACGCACGACCTCATCATTGAATTTCTTCCTGAAAACTTTATTAACTTAAAAAGATAAAATTTATTAAAAGTGAATTTTCAATACCTTTCGTCCTTTTAAATCAAACAACTTTCTGGTTTTTAAATTCCTCAGAATTTTCTTTCTATTTGGTACCCATAATGTTATTCTACATTGCACTGATTTTTTAAAATAATTTTTTTAGTTATTCAACAATTTATATTCAACAATTTATATTGAGCTCGAGGCCGTTATTTAAATGAAAATTTATTGTGGAAAAGCAACAATAATTTGAAAAAATTTTTTAATTATTCATATGTTTAAAATTTCAAAGTCCTTTGAAAAAAACCCTGACATCAAAGTGAAAAATTAAAAACGCAGTTTTACTATATTCGGCCCATAGTTTCGTGAGTATGTCGATTCTTACGTGTGTTTTGAATTTTTTTATTTTTGTCGCACGGTGTTATAAGTATTACGTCCGTACATATGTATGTATGGTTTTTTAGCTTGTTGAAATTATTGCAATCCTAATCGTTTAGTAATCCAGATCTGCTCTCTTTCTCAATTCAACCGCATATAAAAAAAATTAAGTTTGCCCACTGGACAGGATGCTTTAAGTCTATTTAAAGTTCAGCACGTTTATAGTTAGAAAAAGAAGTGAACTTGTTCCTTGGATGGATCGTACGTTAAAGCAATAGTTGGTAGGGAGTTTTCTGTAGAAACTCTCCATCAACTTGAAGTTTAGGCTTTCATACTGGAATAGCGTTTTTCCAGCAGAAGTGGATGTCATTAAAGCGGCAGCGGGCATACTGCTTAAGGGAAGTCAATATATGATCTGATAGCCAAGTGGCAGTTAGGGCCCAGTGCTCACTAAGGGTGCATTCAAAACCTTTTTAAGGACTGCCTGA